GTCATCACCGGTCTATTAAAACACACAACATATTAAAGCGTCTTTAGTGTTTCCATTAGTTAGTGTTTCCACAAAACAAAACCGGAAATCGAGGGGTTATGATGTCATTGGCAGGCGACACAATGACACTATGGACACGGTGCGTGTCACTAGTTAAAATTGCTTATTTCTCTGGATTTAAACATTCTTCGAAACATTTGGGATAATGTAAGTACACAAGTCAGCAAAATATATAACACTGTTCTAGTGGTTTTTGGATAATTTAATAAAAAAATTGTACATATTGTGCCTTTAATTACCAAAAACTATCGATGAAAAAGTTTAATCTGATTAAGGAAGGACATTTGCTTGAGCTGTCTAAGGCTGGCTTGACAAAACTGATTAATCCATTTTAATCTTCATTTCAGTCTATGCCGTTTTCTTCTGATGTGTGAAATGTAATATATAACATTGTTCTAGTGGTTTTTGGATAATTTAATAAAAAAATTGTGCATATTGTGCCTTTAATTACCAAAAACTATCGATGAAAAAGTTTAATCTGATTAAGGAAGGACATTTGCTTGAGCTGTCTAAGGCTGGGTTGACAAAACTGATTAATCCATTTTAATCTTCATTTCAGTCTATGCCGTTTTCTTCTGATGTGTGAAATGTCACTGTACATTATTTGAAGTATGTCTACCATCCAATAACTTTCAACTCGCCACAGATCGCCACATTAAAGAGCATGACTGTACTGTACAAATGACTGTACTGTAACTGATATAACCTCCTGAGAACCATAAAAAAAGGTTTGTGCATTTTGTTGTTGTTTTTTTATGACATTACATTGGTTGGAGCATTAGAAATCAATGTAGAAAAAAAACATTTTTGAAAAATGATATTTTATTCATATTTTATTCTATGTCCTTAGAGGACGTCAGGGCTAAGTTATTCAACAACAAAAAAATAGACATGAAAAGACATGTTTTGGCAAAAACAATGATTTATTTTTTTTCATTCACCAATCAGTTTTTAGGTTTCAGGCTGTTTTTAATCAAACTTTGTACAAAGATGATTCTCAGCTATGTTATGAAAGATATAACAGAATGATTTGATATACTATTTTACTTTATGCAATATGTGTGTAAAATGTCCATAATTTGGTATTCCCATTCTATACAATTAATCTATATATTGCATTTAATTTGCATATGAATGTGTTCTTGGGCAAACCATAATGAAAAAATAAGTGTTATAATGGGAGTAATAATTTTAAAGCAACATTTTCATAAGAATATCTCATATTTCATAGGAATATTGATCTATAATTTCTTGTTGTGTTTCTCCAAAATGTCAGATTAACATGATGTTGGTCCTCTACAGAAGGCATGTATGAAAATGATGCCCTGCTTAATAACAAAGTCATATTTCGATTTGAAACCCCATAAAATTTTTCTGAGATGTTTATTTACGACAAACAATTTGAAAATCAGCCATATTTAAATTGTAAATACAAAATATTATCATATTTCCCAAAGAGTGCTAAATCTGATCATTCTGTCAATATCAGTCACATTTAAAGAATGAGGAGAGGGAGTGTTTATGATCAAACCTCCAAACGTCTGATATCCCTAAAAAGCCCTTAATGTGTTCTGAACAGGACATCCAGACTCAACACTGTGGCATGTAAAGTCTCAGAGAAATCACTAAAATATTGAATAAAAAAATCAAAAAATTATCCGGATATTAAAGTCACATTGTAAACTGCACATCATGCAAGTATCGTAGGTTTTATTAAGTTTAGGTGTAATTTTGTAGTTGTCCTGGGGGTGACTGGCTCTTTACAATACACTTGTCACTATAGAATTACTCCAGAGCACTTGTAGATCTACAGCCCATAATTCTAATATATTATCAAATGATCATATGTGGGATCTTCTTAATGGCACTATAATGTCTTGAGTATGTAGGTCAATTAGACTGATACCCAGCAGCTGGGATAGAAAAAAAAAAGTATTTTAACCTCCAAAAGAATTAAACATCACATTTGGACAGAAGCTTTGGGTTTGGATCGCCACACGATGACTACTGTAGCTGAGAAACACTGACCGTTGTTATTTTTGTCACTCTGTAAAACATTCACGGTTGTCTCTTAAAAACTGAATTTAGCTCTGCTGCTGAAATCAGACGTGCAGAACGTCTAGACTATTTGAGGAGCGTCTGCTACTATTTAAGAGCTGACTTGTGTATATTTAGTCACGATAAGCTCTGTGAAATCATGAAATCAGCCTATATGCGGCGCCTGATGTTTGCTGCAGTTTTGTGAGTAATGACTAGTCCTGCTCACTGATTATCTGATCAGTACTCTTAAGCATTTTGCTTTAGTAAAAAGACACTTACTCCAGCTCATCTTCAGATGATGACTCGGATTCGTCCTTCTGTTCTCTCACGGCTGGCATCTCCGTCTGTGTGTGTGTGTGTGTGTGTGTGTGTGTGTGTGTGTGAGCTCAATGTGTGGGAGAAATGCTCATCTCCAATCCACTTAACTCATCTGTAAAACTGAGATCTTCATGAGAAGAGCTGCCACACAATTTCAGTTTTACTGTGATCTATTGATATCAAAACATATATTTGTATTGCTCTGTGTGGGATGAGAAATCATGCAAAATAAGTAAAATATATGTAAAACAACAATCATCAGAAGTGCAAAATAAAATGAAAATAACAAAATTAAGTGAATTAAAAGGACAGTAGTTTACAAAGATAGTAATGAATGAATGTAACAAACAATAAGTTACTTAAATATGTAATTAAAAAGGTTAAAGCATAAAACTTTCATATACTATAGTTATAAGTTTACATTACTGAGACATTTATTAGTCTTTTAAAAAAAAAAAAAAAGTGACGTGACATGTGGCCAAGTATGGTGACCCATACTAGGAATTAGTGCTCTGCATTTATCCCATCCTAAGTGCACACACACAGCAGTGAACACACACACACCGTGAACACACACCCGGAGCAGTGGGCAGCCATTTATGCTGCGGCGCCCGGGGAGCAGTTGGGGGTTCGGTGCCTTGCTCAAGGGCACTTCAGTCATGGTATTGAAGGTGGGAGAGAGCGCTGTACATTCACTCCCCCCACCTACAATCCCTGCCGTACGAGACTCGAAACCGCAACCTTTGGGTTACGAGTCCGACTCTCTAACCATTAGGCCACGACTTCCCCTTTTTTTAGTTACTACTTTGTCTGCTGTTTGTCAGTTACTACAGATAAACTGAAAATACCTTCTAACGATGTAGTAACTGTTTCATACCCGGCTGGTTAAAATACATATAATATCGGAAAGATGGGATTATGACTAGTTGTGTGTGACTGAAGAGAGTTCACTAGCTGTTAGCTAACCGAGCTAAACCACACTGTGACAGAAGAAGTCAAATTGTTTGTCTGCATTTTTGTTCAGCGTTTGAACTTTTTTGAGTAATATATATTACATTACCAAAGAGTCGAGATGGTTTAATGTACAATTACGAGTAATAAGACTGATTGCGCTATGCGTATTAAATTCCCTTTCATTTACCCGCTGAATTATTTCGCTCAAAATAAAATAAAATTACTCTTATTTTTACTTAATTTTTATTTAAAGCTCTGAAAGACTGAAAAATGTTTTCGATCCCTAACTGATAAATCTATAGACCTTAGAGGTAAAGGGTTTTTGTTTGTTTGTTTGTTTTTGCATAATACTATATGACATTGCTAACCATAAAAAATAACGAACGTCTTATTATATTACTATATATTATTATATATGATATATTATTATAACATGTACAGTGCTGAATACATAATTATGACGTTAAAATTCAACTACCTGTCACAAATCGTCAGATGCTTGGCGGCCAGTGATTAGTCCGATCTCCCGGAAGTGGGCGGCGGTCTTTTAAAACTCTGGTCTCAAACTACCCAATAGGGTGGTGGCACGGCGTGACGCAGCCGTCTTCCGCGGTTTCTGATTGGACCACAGTCAAGTCTGCTGAATGTTGTGAACTTGAAGAGGTTTGATGAACAGGAAGCAATCTCGCAGACTGAGTACAGTTGATGTTACAGTCATAGTTATACATATTAGAACGATGTAACTAATAAATCATGCACTGTGTCTTATATAATGTATAATTGATGATCCAGATTTTGATAGCCTAACAACCCAAACAGTCATTAACAGAGAAGTACCATAGTGTCATGCTCTTTGCATGTGTGTCATAGTAGCACCACAGAGTAAGTCCATGCTACATGAGTATAACAGTCATTCAGTATGGTATATCTCAGAGTACCATGGTAATAGCATGTGCTGTTGATCTCCTGCAGGCGTGCGCTGAAGGATGAGCCGCTTTCTGAACGTGTTGAGGAGCTGGCAGTGATCGCTGTGGGAAACACAGTGCAGAGCTTCAGAGATCACAGCTTCCTGTCCCAGAAGCTCTACACAGGAACACCTGAATATGGTCATGGCCTGCGCTTCATAATCAGCATCTTACTGCATTACTGACCCATTAACTAACATTATCACTGAGCAGAAAAGCAGTACTGTTATTTTAATGAATGCATGCACTGTCCATGAATACAAAACGCATTTGGACTCAAATACATGTTTTAAAATATATTTCACCGTCAGATATAAAATAATGTGTACTTTCAAATATTTATTGTAAATCTTGACAACAAATTAAAATTTAGAGGAGATATACAGTATGTAATTATATATATATATGTGTGTGTGTGTGTGTGTGTTCATAATTTTATGTAAAACACCTGTAAAAAAATTAAAACATAAAATTCCTTCATTTTATTAATACAGTACATTGTGTCCTATTTTTTACATATTTTTTTACAGTGTAACACAAGAATATAAGGAGATTATTAGAAGAGCATTAGAAAGTGTACAAATTTTCAGTCTAAGTTAAGTCACTACTGCTGAACGTCCTGATGTGTTATTCTTTAGTAAACGGTCTTCAGGCGAGAACCTTTGGCATATGGACTCTCCTGTCCTCCATCCTCCGCTGTGCCTGTGCCATAGACATTCAGAACAGAACGTAAGGATCCTCGAGTGTGTGTACCTAAATTGTGGTCCCCATGGGTACAAAAACTTATAAATCATACAGAATGAAGTTTTTTGAAAATCTAAAAATGCACAAAGTTTCCTGTAAGGGGTAG